TCTACTAGGCTACACGGCGACGGCCAGGTGCTCGCCGAATGGATGTTCGAGCACGGTATGGACCTACCTTCTGTTTTGATTTAACGCTGTTCAATCTGCGGACTTTGTGGTAAGCAGTTATTACATCTTACGTGATAGAACACGGGAGCGAAGTAAAAGAGGGGACAGCCCACTAGCCAAATCTAAACGATTACAGGCACACGTAGTAATGTAACTCATTCTCTGTAGATAGTTATAAATAATTATTATCAATAATTGAATCAACCTCCACACAATTGAGACCCATAGAAGCCCCAAACTTACATACAACCCTCAATTGTATTGTCGTAATCGCATCTGTAACGAGCCAACACTGCATTTTAGAATACACCCTCTTACTGTGATAAGCTACACCGCTAGATTTAGCAAACAATTTACAATATCTTCCACACCAGGCGTCCCTACACATGATTTCGGAAACACACTCGACCTAGTCTGGTCTAACGCCGGTGACCTTGCTGATATCTCGATAGAGCTTGACTCGATATCGGACCATAGAACGTTTGCAGGAGACGTCCCTGTCACGAAATAAGACGATGTCCTTATTAATAGATAGATTGATCACAAAGCTGCAAGAAGTCCAAGAGGACCATTCTACTTATTGTACCTCGGTTATCTGTTTATGCTAACCACCTTAGTCAGCGAGGGTTAAACATGACAGTACCCCGTCCAAACTCGAAAGCTAGAGCTATCATTAGAACTGGCCAACCGTTCCGAGTGACAGACGACGCCCTCGAAGACTTTGCCAAGGTGCTTGGTAGGTGGGCTCATGCAATAGGGATACAGCCAACTGGTTCAATAAGCGCGGTAGGCAACCTTGCGGATAAGCTGGTCCCAACCATTAGGGATACAATCAGGGCTACCGGAAGACGTGGGAGTGCAAAGTGTTGAAGCTTTGTCGTTTAGTGATAGAGATGAGAGTGAGGTTTAAGGGTCACGATATATGAGACAACTGAGATGTGGATGTCTGAGTTCCTTACTATTGTTGTTGTACTAGTTGGGGTTGTATTTCTATATACAGAAGGGATTTCTCCATCTACAAGTGGGCCAGATCGCTTAGGTTTGGCTAGCGGCTTTCGCCATCCCGTTCCTTCTCCCTCGCATGTCATCACGTGCCATACAACTATTGCTCACCATTAAGTCCGAGGATGAAAAGCGTTAGGTTACAACACAAAGAAGGGTATGACAGCACCTTGGTGGACGTTGAAGTGACTACAGGCCAAACGCGAATACAGTATATTCAGGGACGAAGAGAGCAGAATGGCTTTCCGTCGCATAGTCAAAAGTGCGAAACGCCAATACTGGCGGCGAAAGTTCTCCGAAGCCACAGCCGACGTCGACATGTATCGGTTGGCACGTTGGGCAAAGCCGCGACCTACATCTGCTGCTCCGCCACTCCAAACTCCGGATGGTTTTGTTTCGGATCCAGGAAAGCGTGCACTTCTGCTGCACGACCTTCTTCTCGGTCGGTTCACCAGCCAAAACGACATCGAAGCTGAGGACCTCGAGCCAGGACGCGGAAACCTTCCATGGGTCTCAAGCGTTACAGACGAAGAAGCCAAGTGGGTAACAACGGCCTGCCAGAATAAAGCCCCTGGACCAGACGCAATTTCTGTTCGTCTTCTTAGGACAGCCTGGCCGTCAATTGGACAAGTAGTGAGAGTACTCTTTGAGGGCTCACTTCGACTGAACCACTTCCCGAAGGCATTCAAGCTAGCGGAAGTAATTTTTCTCCCCAAACCTGGCCGTAATCTCAGTACAGCTAAAGGATGGAGGCCCATCGCACTGCTATCCTCTCTGGGCAAAGGTCTTGAGAGACTAGTCGCAAGGCGTATAGCTTACACCGTCATTTCGCTCAAGGCTGTGCCGCAGCAGCTTTTTGGAGTACTTTCCAGCAGATCTGCTAACGGCCTTGTCTCATGCGTTATCCACGATGTGGAGCATGCAATGAAGAGGCAGAAGAAAGTAGTCCTTGTCACTCTGGACGTACAGGGGGCATTCGACGCTGTACTACACGGAAGGCTGCTGCAGAGGATGAACAAAGTTGGGTGGCCGAAATCAGCCATCACTTGGATAAAGTCTTTCCTGACAGATCGATCGGCCCGCGTCAGACACGAGGACGGAGTAACAGACCGAATTCACCTAGAATGCGGGCTGCTACAAGGATCACCTTTATCCCCGATTCACTTCCTCCTTTACATGGCCGAAGTCGTGGGGGGCAGTAGTTGGAGATTCGGCTATGCAGATGATGTTGCTATCCTCGGCATAGGCTCAACCCCGAAAGAAGCCGCAGCAGCTGTCCAGAGAGAAGTCGATGCAGTCCTAGGGTGGGCTGCTGAAAATGCCGTCTCTTTCGACCCAGATAAGGCCGAAGCAGTCTTTTACTCGGCCCTAGATCCAGGGGATACGACCTTCCAATGATAAGGGTAGGTCCTCGCGATGTTCAAGCATCCGACAACATCCGATGGCTCGGAGTTTACTTGGACCGTGGCCTGACCTTCGATAGCCACGTCGCAAAGTGGACGAGTAAAGCAATGCGGCGGATGCAACACTTCCGGCGACTCACTCAGTGCACCCAGGGACCAAGGCTAGACTTACTAACCACAGTTATGTTGTAATTAAGGCAGCAACATGACTGCAGTAGACAAATAGTACATATTAGAATAATATGCACTGGCGCCATGAGATATGATTAACCCATATCATCACTCACTAGCATGAATAGTAATTAGCAAATAGATGCCTAACAGTATACATTGGCTTCAGGATCTCCAACAACCTTCCCGTTTAGGTTAGATTAGGAAGTATGTTGGAGTTCACACTAGTGTGCGGAGAATTCCGCTTTCACGTATATAGAGGGAGTTCTCGCCACACAATTAGAATTATGGCAATTTCTTTACAATTAACTATCCATTAAATATCAGTAAACTTCTTTGTATAGTAAACACATTTATCGTATCTCTAAATCAAACTCGAGGCTAGTGTGTAATTTTCCCAATCTCCGGAACTAATTTCAATTAGCCATTCGCACGGTAGTTCTGCCAATAGCGATGCACGCAGCGGAGTTCTCGTACCCGGGGCCAACCAGAGAAACTTATCGAGGTGTCGCGCGTAATTCTTATAAGAGACAGTGCAAAGTAATCGATCAAACTTCTGCCTTCGGCATGCGCATGGCTCTACCAACCTGGCGCACCATGCCCGTCGCAGCTCTGAGAAGGGAGACTGGCATTCCATCTGCACACATTCTGCTCGAAGAACGCAGGCTCAAGACTGCCGCGAGAATCCGAAGACTGGATGACTATCATCCGCTTCGACTTCGGTCCACGGAAAGCACAGATAGCGCTCGCCACCGACTCGGACTAAAGACATGCAAGAAAAGCAGACTTGGTCTGGATAGAGTTCATGATTCAAGGGTCCAGAGGCTGAGCCTCCTCCAACGCTCCGACCTCTGGTACCCCTTCAGCCGAAACCTTGCTGGATAAGCAAGAAAGAGGCTACGAAGTTTATAAAAGAGTGTTCGGATTAGGTCCTGGTCAACGATGTCTAGCCTAATTGTGCTATGTTGCAGGCTACTGTTCCAATTATTCTTGGGGTCATCATCAGGGTTGTGAGTAGTTTCGGTTTTGGTGTGGGTTGTTAGATTGATACCTGAGCGTGTCGCATAGTAGTCAGACATGCGACTCGAGTAGCATATGCACGGTAAACCTCAACCCCAGAATGATCATACGAATCAGGCTTTACATGCTACGTCCTGTATGGCTAGCGTGGTTGAAATATGGAGAGTTTACCTGTAGATAGATAAAGACTTTGTATCTCTCTGATAAATGGGACAAGTCTTCTACAATTATATATTGGAATCAATCCTAGCCTCTCATTAAGCAATCTCATGAATTATTTCCAATGTCTGTGATAACAGAAGTACGTCTACACAGTCGACAACAAGTTTAAAGTCGAGAAGATGGTAATCGAGGCTCAGGCGCGTGGGACTGAGGCGAAACGATGGTAGGGAGATTGTGTAAGTTTTTTCTTTGTTTTCACTCTGGGCTGCTGGACTCGTCATGATTCAGCACATAGATGCGTTTTGGTATGTTTCCGGTCATTTAGGTGGGACGAGGCACTTGTATTTTACGGTAGTTAACCTGAGCCGGCCCGGCTCCACCCGTGATCAACCTTCAGTAGAAGTGCGACGGGAATCACTTTACCTAGCCTGGTAATGAACAAACAAATGCAAACAAACGCACAATTCGAAAATTCCCTTTTTCCACACCTCTCGAACTCGTCGCATCTTCTCTTTCACTGTTACAATTAATTAGTTATGAAGACGTCAGAATAATTTTCTGAGGCCTAGGGCGCTAGATCATTGCTTAAAGAAAATTCCTTCTTGACTTCGACGAATAGTCTGGTTTAGTGAAACGCGGCCTATTGGTGATGATGAGGACTAGGGAAAACAATTTATTTTCAATTTCTTTTCTGAATGACTCTTACTAGACAATCTTCAAAGTTTGTAACCAAAATATCAGGGTAAGACAAGTATTTGAGCTTCACGGCTACATTAGGTCCATGCTCCGTCAACAGGTCTACTGTGGGGATGAGTTTTATGCGATGGAGAATCATAGTTGTAATCCCGTGGAAGATGCGGTAGTGGCGGTAACAGGGTGCCCTGTAAAAATGAGAAATGCATCGTTGGGCAGTTAACCTCAGAGATAGGAGAGTGATGATACAGGGTACTGACAGGTTCAAGAACATGAACGATTATAATTATCACGGATTAAAACTAAATTTTGTAAAATTACCCCGCACTTACGCGCATTTAAAGATAACAGAAACCTGCGTAAATGTGTTAAGTATCTTGCACGTTACATTTATCCCATTAGTCGTCACCTGTCGTAAGATGCGTATAATAAATCTATCTGTCATGTTCTTCGTAGATTACGCCGTACTCTCATTTCTAAAGTTCTACCTCAAAATATGTAATCAGGCCAGTGGAAGGAGTTTTCTTGTGATGGGTCTTTGGGCTGTTGGACTAGGGGAAAAGAAGTCGGTTTCGTTGTCACTAGTTTTAGGTTCGTCGCATGTGGTTGTTCGAATTGTTCCACAATAGAATTTACTTTTCCGGGAGAGAAGTCTTTGGATTGAGAAGCTGAATCTTGAATGAGGTCCCAAGTTTTCAGGACATGGCTTTTAGAAGCAATTGGGAGTGGAGGAGCTGTGGTGAGCCGACCGATCGTTCGTTCCTCAAATTCATGCTCTGGATCATCTGAGCAGGTGGATAACTGCGGCGAATTCTTACTGTCGCAAGAAGGATGCGAAAATAAAGATCTGTCCTCGTCATCTAGAGAGCTACTAGAATCTAAGACTCGCAATGGAGACGTATGCCGGGGCCCATGCCCAATGGTCGGATGTGCTGGAATATTGAAGGTCTCTTTGACTCCAGAGATGCCTGAATTAGAGCCAGTGTTATATGAAATTAAACTGGAACTAGTCTCTCGAAGCATACTCCCATTATCAAAGGAATCTCGATTTTTTTCTCGGAAAATACTTTTGTCGGGGGGCAAAGAGAAATTTCTCGTCGCACTTACTTTACTTCTGTGCTTTTCACCTATGTGCTCCATTGAAACATAATTTTTGCTGAGAATTCTATCATGTTTGATTTTTAGTGTAGATTCTGTACTTTTTGACTTCATTGGTGACAAAGCTGCTCTCTTCTTGCAAGATCTGATACTTTCTTGGTTCTTTCTTTTACTTGTAAACTTTGATAAAAAGTCTGTATCTCCTGAAGCCTGTTCGTCTTCGGAATCCGAAAAGTGTGACTGAGACACGTTGAGATTATTGGCATTTGATTTTGGGTTATTGCAAGAAGCTATTCGACTACCATCAATTCTATCACCTGGGCTTTTTTCTTCATTACCTTTAAATTTGACTTGGTTGGGCGAAATTTCAGGTGTACACAGTGAAGTAGGATCATTTTTTCCTTGAGTCCACGTAGAACTTGGGACATGACTTTGAAGATAACTGTTGCATGCTTGACCCTGCGCCTCAGCAAGCTGGCGCCTTGCTATTTCAAGTTTTGTTTCGAGATTACTAACGCGCTTCACAAGAATTTGCTGCCGATTGAGCTCTTTTCGCGAGGTAAAGTTACTAGTATACTGATTGCTAGAGACAGATAGATTTGTCACACTTGAGCTGGTGAAAGCCTTACCAATAGTTGAAAGAGAAGTGGATTTAATATGGCAAAACGATTTTTTAGGCGATAATGAGTGGTGATGAGGCGAGTTGGTGAGAGTAGTAGAGCTCTTCGACTGGTTTATGGTTCGCGAATAAGGCCTTTCGATTGGAAAATCAACAAAGTTTTGGTTTTGTTTCTCGTTCTCTCCGGCCCTCAGGGATCTCAAGGATATCTGACCCCTGATTTTACCAGGTCGGAGCGATTCGGTCGGGCGTTTGTAACAGGCTATACTACTTTTGGATTTATCAGCAAGAGGGGTATGAATTGATATTATTTTTTCATCGTGCCAAGTAGGAGGTTCAACAACTGTATTTTTGAATTGACCCAGTTTTTTCAGCTCTTCGTACATTTTTTCAGCTCTCTCCTGTCGCTCATTCAAAATCTGTTTTTGTACATTCTCCTCGTCCTTCTCAAACTCAGTTTTCGGCCAGATTTTCCAGCTGCTTAAGTTAAGAGTAGCGGCAATGTATCTCCCTACTTTGAAGAGTGAAGAATTTCGATTTTCAGTACGATAAGTTGAAGAAGATTCCGAAGTTGAGCGGTTTGTATTTTGAGCTGCTTGCCGCGAATAAGATTCAGAGACGTAGTCAATTTCCGAGTCGCCATTATTGGATAGCATTTCGACCGATTCAAGATAAGGTGCAGGTGGTACTTGGCTAATCCTGTCATTCATACTACCCTCCAAAAACCTCGACGCGCGATGTTTGGGACTTATTTGCTGACATTTTTGTGTGGAACAAGAGGTGAGCTTAGTATGATTGCAACATACTTCTGGCTCACCGTTAGGCAGTTTGGAGAGTGACCATTCACTAGAGCGTTGTCGCTTTTCAGCATAGAAGAGTATTTCGGCATTACTTTGTGTCTGCTTAGACTGGCGATTGCTGTAAAGTCTCTTGGAACCAGCCTGGGCTGGTGTCGCGTATTCGCCTTCGAGATCATTAGCCACTGGTCTCTTGACTTTTTGTATCTTGCGGTTCTGAGCACGTAATTAGTTATCTGTATTAACGGATTTTGCTGAGTAGATTTTTTGCGACTTTTTCATCGTGAAGTTGTTATATTTGTTCATGTAACTGTTTACATTTACGTTTTCGGTCACAAGGTTGACGAAGGGATTTATTTCAACTGAAGTTTTTCTGCGCTTACCTTAAGCATTGTGAAGTTCATGTTCCAACACTCTCATAAAGCTTCATCCCCGCCCAACGTTGCATGGAAGAACGGGAAGGAAATTAATTCACGATTGTTTGTTTGTTTACTTTGTCCAAGCGACGGTTTGATACCAAATTAGCTGGCCAAAGCGTAGGACACTAACTTTTTACATCACTGCATCACTGCACAACTAGTCATAACTATGCACATGCGTCCATAATTATTTATGTGAACTTAATAAATAAATAAACTATTCAGTTATTGTCGGTTTATCTAAAACGTAAAAGTTGATTTATCATCATGTGGGGATCACATGATGACCTCAGCACAGATGCGCTAGTCAGAATCCACACTAAAGCTGTGAATCCTGTGAAGCGTAGACAAGACAATTATTATTCGACTTTAGATATCTAAATATTCAGACATATAATGAATATAGTCTATTTGTCGATTATGATCTGACTGCGATTGCAGTTGGATGTAAATAATGTTAAGGTCTTTATCAAGTATCTTTCATATATATATTTATTGTGGAAATACCCTCCCGTGAAGTCTACCCTAATATGTACATGGAAATGCCTTGTTTTATAGATATTCCCAAAGTCAAAGATAGAGCACCTATATCCCCTGAGATATATGTTAGATACAGAGTTGTGACCTGCGTCCCATATTATGCGCAAGTCCAAAACTACGTTCTACCATGTCCGTCAGTTCTGTATTAAGTTTTCCAGCCTTCATTTCCGTGCACATATCCTAAAGTGTAATTTGCCCGTAGATGTATGATCAGCGGCGGAAACCTGCAGTCTAATAAACACAGTTTAGACACCATGGGAATAGATTCTAACTCTAACAATAATGAACATTTAGACCAAAACAGAATCGTACATTTCGAGAATTTCAAAATTTCGAAAATTCATTTTTTCCCTCTTTCCTCCCTTCTCGACCTCGGCGCATCTATCTCTGAATTGTGATCGAGCGTAGACATTTTCACCATGCCTCCAGTTCGCAAAAAGCGTCCCAACGCCAAGATGGACAACACGAAAGTCCGCCCGAGGGCTCTCGATCAATTATCTGGCCTTGTCAAGTCTCCGAAATGCGCGGAGATGAGCAAGGTCTCTACGAAAGAGAAGGAAAAAGCCCTCCCCACAGTCACTGAGCCCGATACTGACATGATCGGGTCAGTTGAATTATTGAGGAAATTCCTCAACCACCCTCCGTTCCCCACGGGATTGGAGAATCGTCAAAATCTCCCCCGACCGCGCCAAAACTGTCGGAAAACGCTGCACCCAAAGCAGCGTCAAAATCAACGTCGCAGCCCAAAGCTGCCACGAAAGCAGATTGCCCTCCAGAACTTCGACAAATTATCGAAGCCGAGCAACGACGTGCTGCCGAAACAGCGGCAAATCTGGCCCTCTGCTCCGCCGCTATCTCTGGCGTCGAAGCCACCCTTCTTCCTTTGACCAACGGGTCAAACAGACAATTTGTAGACTCGATGAGAGTCTACTTACGCGCAGCCATAGCGCAATACATGGCCACGGGCCTGGCCGATACGCCACCCGTTCTCCCTCCTCGCCGGGCGAACCCAATCCCAAGGGCTCCCGACGTCAGGAGCACACCTATTCCCGCCGTCCCAGCACTGCCTGTGAAAAGCACCTGGGCCACGGTGGCTAGAAATGGATTGCGACCGAAAGCAGTCCCAACTGCGAGGGCTGTTCCGCGACCTGCAGCAAAAGCCCAAAATAAATAAGCTCCAAAGGTGAAAGTCGACGAACGACTGTTCCTTCGCTTAGAGAGCGATCACCCATGGCACCAGCTTTCGCCTGACGGCATACGGCATCAATTATGTTGTAGGCTACTATACACCTTGAGTGAAAAAAGCTCTATACACCGTGTCAGAACCGGATTTGCGATTCTGACAGCGGATGAAAATGAAAGGGAAGAGCTCTTAGATGCCTCACCGAAGTTGTCGGACTTCAATGCCAAAATCGAGGAAGCCTCCAACCTTGTCGCCTTTCGGATCGCGAATGTTCCAGCGACCATAAAATTTATCAAGCGTATTGAGACGGTCGATGCCGGTAGGATCTCACTGGAGATCTACCGCAAAACACAACGACGTCCATGCCAGGTGCGACCGCACGGGACATGTCGTCCTGGAGCGTCATACAGAAACTAGTATGCCCTTTTCAACCGGGACTCTGCCCCTCGTGCGGGCTTCCGAATTCTCGACGAGTCTGGAGCGGCTACAAAGATCCAGCCTCGTCGCCAAATTGAATAGTGCAAACGCTGTTTGGGCTTCCACGTCACTCGTAGTTGCTCCCGCGCTCCAGCGTGCTGAAACTGCGGATCAAAAATGCACTCGGAAGATGAGTGCAAGGCCCTCACCAAGTGTCGCAACTGTGGAGGACCCCACCGATCGGATTCTCGGGCCTGTCAAGTCAGACCCAGAAAATCCGGACCGGTGACAAAAGAACAGCTCGCGTGGATTCGCCACATCGAACAAGGGGAGTTCGCGAAGGTGGCACGAGCACGAGCAACAGCAAAGAAGGCCGAAGAGGCGATCACCGCCGCTGCGAAGGACGTCTCGATGGCCGAGGCTACAGGTTTCGGAGCCCTGGAAGCTGAAGAAGAAGTTTGAGGACACAGCAACCTCGACCATGTCCCTTTTGGAGCATATACTAACCAATAGCAGGATACCGGCTGGATAAAAAGTGCCTGCTATCTCATCTCTTGCTCTCAGCGGAGATTGAGTAAATTTGACATATGGAAGATGTGGCAGGAAAGAGAACGGGCGAGAAGCGCGGGATCTGGACCACATGAAAAAATCTTCTAAATTTGATTTCAGTCTTTGGCTTTTAGTTTTGATTTTAGTTTTTGATTACAGTTTCTGAGTTATAATTTACCTGCTACTTTTTCTGTAGCGGGTCACGCGGTTGGAATGAGTTGGGCCTGTAAGCAGTGATCCCCGCCGGCTCCACCAGTCTTGTACCGATAGTGGACCCAGAGCTTCAGCTTAGGACTTTAATATAAAAAAAAACAGAATCGTACAACTCTTTACTGAATCATTACGATCGATCGTGAAACCACCCCGTAGTAATTCCAACAGTTATCCTTATTTTTGCATCAGATTTTAATTGCGTATGCAGCTATCTAGCTATGACACAATATCAAAAAAAGTACAGAACGGATGATTCAGTTGTCCTGATTTGGTGCCTTGAGGCCCATGCCGGTTTTTACCGAAAATATGTACTTTTAGTAGGATGACTCAATTTGACGTTTAGAACACTCACTCTCAGATTTCACTTGCAGATACCACTCGATGTTAACCCTTACGGCGTAAAACTTCTTCCGTGCGTGCCCACCATGGGGAAAAGCGTGAAAACCCTGTGGCTATTCGAGTGTGCTTTCATCATCCCACAAGTACAATATCACAGCGAGAGAGTGTGGTGCGTGGATTTTACTGGATTCGAACCAGCTTTCTCTTGTCTCGAATGGATTAGGTGTTCCGACTACCCAGTATCTACTTAGGAGAACGGCCTGGATGGTGTACCACTGTACCATCCAACCCCATGTGAACATAATACTGTACAATTCCGTCACCTATTTCTAATCGTTCAGTGTTCTACCGAGCGATCGATCGACTATAACCTTCCAGATTTCATCGTATTGTTAGCAGGGCTGAGATAAAGGTCTAAATTTACCGGTAAGTGTTCGGATTAGGTCCTGGTCAACGATGTCTAGCCCAATTGTGCTATGTTGCAGGCTACTGTTCCAATTATTCTTGGGGTCATCATCAGGGTTGTGAGTAGTTTCGGTTTTGGTGTGGGTTTTTAGATTGATACCTAAGCGTGTCGCATAGTAGTCAGACATGCGACTCGAGTAGCATATGCACCGTAAACGTCAACCCCAAAATGATGATACGAATCAGGCTTTACATGCTACGTCCTGTATGGCTAGCGTGGTTGGAATATGGGGAAATTACTTGTAGATAGATAAAGACGTTGTAGCCCTCTGATAGTTGGGACAAGTCTTCTACAATATTATATCGGAATCAAATCTAGCCGCTCATTAAGCAATCTCATGAATTATTTCTAATGTCTGTCATAACAGACATACATATACAATATTGACAACAAGTTTTAATGTCGATAAGTAAGTCTTCTTTAGTTGATAAATCTACGAAGTTTTTCGCAACACAAAAACATATCAAGAATTTAATCTAGACCATTTTACAGAACAATTTCTTTTAAGAACCTCTTGACATTTCAATGTGACCTTCAATATATCCTGAGGCGTGAAAGACGAAAATAGTTGAAAGGAAGCGAAGAAGTCAGAGGGTGAATTTCCCGAGGTACCCACAAGTCTGCAGCGTCCAGCTGGCCGGCCTCTTTGAACGCTTCAGATGGATCACTATGTCTTCGGATTTAGTCCTAACGTCGGTATTCGGAGAGCTCCGCACCCAGTGGTTTTTGCGATTTTTCCCGGCTGCCATACACCCACAAATGGCAATCGCTTCGTTGGCTAAAAAGGGGAGATAATGAAAGGCAAAGGGCTCCTCTAAGAATATGATTGAATGAGGACTTTTGAGGGGTGGTACTGTTTGATGGGAGCTGAATGGGAGGCATAGGAGGGGATATACTACTGGCATAGGTATCCTTGGCCTATAGACAGAGAGGACCTGCATGTCAAACATAGTTTTAGACTCAGAAAGGATAATAAAATGAATTAAGAAAACAAACCCGAAAAATCACGAAAATCAAAATAACTCCAAAAACCAGAAGATTCCTCCATGTTGAATCCAAGCAATGCGCTCCTCACACATTCCGTTGTCCGTTACACCTTCAGAATGACAAATTTACCCAATTCCGCTGGAGCAAAAAATGGGCCAGCAGGCACCTTTGGTCCAGCCGGTATCCTGCTATTGGTTAGTAGATGTTCTTTCCGGGACATCGTCGAGGTTACTGTGTCCTCAAGCTTCTTTTTCAGATTCCAACACTCCGAAACCTGTTACCTCGGCCATC